CAAAGATTAAGAACCCAAATCCACTTTGGATATGTGAGATGATGTTAGGACGTAAATTTGCATCTTCTTCCTTCCCACCTTTTGTGGGTCCCGATACAAAGCAAGTCTTTCACTTTTCTGATGGTATAGATTTGGAGTCTGTCAATAGACCTTGAAATAAAACTCGCATTTATCCCATTTAACGAAGATGAGATTGAAGAGGATGGCTGAATTTCCGACACAAAACAGAGCGGGATTCATGAATTGGCCTCATCCAAATCCGGAGGTGGTGTTTGCATTTTGTAGCGGAGGCGGAGGGAATGCGCAACAGAGACTTCAGCTCCACATAATTTGGTTGACCAATTCATGTTCTTCAAACACATGCTTGCAGATGAATGAAGCCGATAGAAGACGGAAATGGGGTTGTAGTCATACACAACTGAACCAGCGTTTGATCCTGCAAACTTGGCACATGTTTTTGGTATGTGTCATTCTGGGGGTGTGCATCTGCGTGTGAGTATATGATCAAGACTGAAGTCGTGTGAGGTGTGAGAGCCAAAACTAGACTCGGAGCTATAAAAGCCTCCTAATTTTTCTCAACAGCTTTTTCCTCTCCTTTCTGTCTCTCTCTCTCTCTAACTAGTTATCTATCAATCCTTCCTATGCTCGAATGTGTGAGAGAGAGACTGGCTTAGGTAGTCTCGAGTCTGGTTATGTAGCTCATAGCACACATGAGTTGAATGTCTCATACACCCCATACACACTGTAGCATATATGAAAACGCACCTCGGCCGTTTATGTGAAGAAACGACTGTGATCAAAAAGATACCTAAATTATGCTTTCTTGTTCTGATTATGTCTAAGAGAGTTAAGGCTTTTTTACACAAACCGTCAGTATTCGCTGTACGGCACAACCATTTTTCGGCTTCTGGTGTACCACTTTTTACGCAACATTTTCTCAAAAATGAAAAGTCAAATCACATTTGTTTCATATCGTAAAGAAAAGTGGATTGTGAAGAATCCCTCAGTTATTAAGTGTAGTCAAACTTTTTTCATTTTAAAGGGGAGCTCGATTGGAAGGAATGTGTGAATTTATCCTACCGGAAACCTAAATGAAGATCCGTTGGACCAATCTTACAGTCTTCATTCCCTCGGTTTCGGTTGAGATGAATTCATGAATTCATTCCGATCAACCTCTCCTTTCAGAGGGAAAAGTCATATCACCACTTGTTTCAGAATGAGATTGCCCAACCTCATAAAGCCCACAACTCGAGGTGACATCTTGTGATCCCGTCGAGAATGTTCATCGAATGACAAGGAAAATCGTCTCAACTTGAAGATGACCACTGCTGAACCTGATCATTTGGACCGATTGAAGAGTTGGCATCTGGCGATGTTGCATCAACGTAGACGGTTATCGAGAATTGGGAGCCGAAGATCCGGTTTGAGAGAGCATAGAGCACCGAAAACTGCCATTTGATGCGGTCTGTCTTCCAGATTCGCCAAACTTTGCCGCAGTCAGCAACTTCGACTTGCTCGACTTGTCGAGCAGAGCTGTCAAGGTTAGCGAGACAGGACAACGCGTTTTCTATTCGAGCATTTTGACTAACGTTGCCCCAACATTGTCAACATTCGCGACTGTCTCGAATGTTTGTGTCCACCACCGATTTGCCCATTTGTCTCTCGAGTTCAAAGATATTGCAAGCAGCTTTCCCAAGCTCTCTTTTGTAACTCAACCTAACTCATTTTTCCTCAATTTATACGAAACATTTCACAATTGGCAAATATCCTAAAGGTGGTGTACACAATCGATTCACCCATTTGTTTTATGAGTTCAAAGTTAGTGTGAAAAGGTTTGCATAACTATATTTCCTTATTCTTTTTTCGGTACCGTTTTGGTGCATTCAGCTTTCACAATACTGATCTATTCGATCTCATCAACTTCTTGGTTCGAGTTTCGATATTTGTTCACTGAATAGATTCTAGGGTCCACGTTCAGTTATCCTGAATGGGTGTCTTTACAAGTGACTGTAGCCATAGGCAGCTCCTGCTAGACATTCTGGTTGGTCAGTTGACGGGAGAAGATATGGGTGTTACGAATGCATACATCGACAAGCGGAAGCATACAAGTGATGATAGGATGACGAGGATGATAAAGATGAGAATTGTGACAATATTGGAGCCTTCCAACACGAAAAATGAAGACAAATTTATTGATGTAGAACCAGATAAAAAGAGTATGAAATTCGGTAAGTTGTCTAACTACGGGCACTTTTGGCATAGATGTAAATACACTCATTTCATAGTGTTAAGGTGCTTAGGTAGACTTGATTTTTATTCCAAAAGTGATGTTGATGATGATCATGATCATGACAATTATGAAGATTTTTAAGCAAAATAAGATGATGATGAAAATGATTGTGGTGATGCTAATGCTGATGTCGATGAGGATGATGAAAATGGTGACAACGATGAAGATAAAGCTGACAATGATGAAGATGATGAGGTATCGTGGAATAAGTCAATCTGAAGGTAGCATTAAAGCCAAACGGCTGCAGTACAACGGAATTCAGCCATCTTCTTCCTGCGTTTTCATTCGAAATAAAATGTTATCTGATGAGATTCATCGAAACCAGGCTACTGTTCCTATCTACGAG